GGTGTGAAGTGCTTCTTCTGCCTCCTCGTACTTTGTTGGTTTTCTTTCTGACTTGTACAGAAATCTGTAGCGTGTCTTCCTTAAGACATTAATAATCATGATTATCATTATTATGTCAGATCTGTCCTTCATAGCATCGCCCCGAAGTCCCAACATATCCTCCCAGTCTGTAGTTCAACATCTAAACATGTGCTGGCTCCTCTTTTGATGAAACTTTATTTAAATAAGGCAGAAAATGGGGCAAATTAAAAATGGTGTCGTCACATCCTCCGTCCAGCAGAGGGCACTGCAGCACTGACAGCGCTGTCTGCAGCACATGTAGCAGAGATCACAGCTGAGCAGACGTTCAGTGGAGTGGTGTGTGAACAGGAAGCTGTCACCTCGTTAGTAAAACACACGACCGCATCATTTCCTTCTTAATGTCACTGATTCATATGGAGATGAATCACTTCAACATGACGACCTTCATGTGGTTTCTACCCAAACAAAGGACGGCTTCAGAGCCAGGCCGATGAAATACTTTAGGTGAAATACTTCCAGTCCCACAATTGCAAGAGTGCAAACAAAATAATTAGAAAACCGGGAAAAACAACAAGAAAGAGAGCGGCTCATGTTTCTCAGAGGAAAGTCCCCGTTTGGCTCCAGTTTCCATGACTCGGCTCTCCTGAGGACAACCATCCCATCAGGCATCCTCGCTGCCTTTCTCTGAGAACTCAGGACAATCAGTCTTCCCAACAAACCCACATGAGAGGCCGAGCTCCCCGGAGACAGCAGCAACCTCTGAGCAACAGGCAGCGAACAACAGAACACGGCGACGTAATCGCAGCTTAATGAGATGAAAACCATGAGAGGAAATACGCAGCAGCTCTTTGATCGTTCTGCTGCCGTGAAGCTCTGAGAGAAAAAACCCATCGTATCAGGTGAAGCCATGACGAAAGAAATATTAAAGAAGAGTCTGACGTGTGAGCAGCAGGACGATAAAGAGCGTCTCGTCTTCTACACGCCGTAAAAACCAACAGAGAGAAGGAACGGCTTTACTCTAAATAGTTTTTAACTGTTTACTATTTACAGATTTTTCCTGTTTTGCTAAATTACAGATAATAAAATGTAAAAAGTCTCAGTTTACACATGAACTGTAATTTATTCACATCACGTCTGTGTTTTGTTCTTTTACAGTCTTTGACCATAAAGTTACACATTTTACTGTAAATAAATCCACTGACACATTATTGTTATTGTTGTTTGCTGGTCGAGTGCTTTAGTTTGTGAACTTCACTATATTCTACCATTTTTTAAATGTATTTTTTTCTACCACTCGTACTGTAGTTTTACAGTTTATACAGTTGTCTTGTAAAAAAAACAAACAAACAAGAATAAAACAGGCGCACATGAATCTCGTGACAGAACACAAATGGACCCAGTCACTGGGTCGGGTGTCGTCTTTCTAGAACACCTGTCGGCTCTAAAGGAAACAGGAAGCGCTCTGTCAGACACACGATGAAGTTGTTGTTGTGTGTCTGTAATTGACGCTCTAATAGATGCTAGAACAGGTGTGTCACCGCAGCACAACAAAGAGCCACCACATGGAAGAGGAGCAGAGCGTGAGCATGTGCTGAACCAAGCCTCCAGGCCTCCAGACCTCCAGGCCTCCAATCCTCCAGGCCTCCAGGCCTCCAGACCTCCAGGCCTCCAATCCTCCAGGCCTCCAGGCCTCCAGACCTCCAGGCCTCCA